CCAGAATTCCCCAGCCAGCATGCTGGCTGGGGAATTCTGGGAGTTGAAGTCCACACAGCTTCAAACTGCCAAGGTTGAGATACACTGGAATGCAGCTTCAGCTCACGAAAGTGTATGCCTTTTAATAAAATGTATTAGTTGGAAAAGGTGCTACCAGGCTCTTCCTGATTTTTTGCTACCATAGACTAACGTGGCTCTCCTCCTACAGTGAGTATAAGCAGGACGCAGACGCAGTTAATAACGTTGTGTTTGGCCATAGAAAATAGTTCTCCGACATGCCCCCGACCCCATCTTCATAACTTTCTTCAGCCTTCATTGAAATCTCGGGCTATTGAACCTTTGAATGAAGGCAGGGAAAGGGTCACCACAGGGCCAGCTGAGTCACGAGTCCTCCCCACATAGAGGTCTGTAGATGTCTGCATCGTTCACCACCAATTTTTTGGAAAGGTCTCCAGTAAATGAAGCGGGTTGCTTTTCTGGAGAGGAGGCTGCATCTGTTTCGTCAAAATGTTTGGAACCAAGACTTGAAACTTCGTGATTGAAACGGGAGAGGACTTGTCTGCCTTCAGCCAACTTGCAGATGGTGTGTTTCACAGGTTGCCGCTGCAATGGTTTCCTTCATCCTGTCAGGCCTGGCCTGTATCAGCAAGCCCTCCCCTCTCCCCCCACAGCTGCCCTGTTTATCCTCCGACAGGAAATTCACAGCTGGAATTGACCAGCAAACAGAGGCACCAGAACCCCAGATAAGGCTCCAGAGACACGTTGCAGCTGGAGATGGGGCAGGCAGCCCAATCAGCAAACATTTTTCTTCCTTCTGATCTGATCCCTGTTGTCGAGGGAGAGGGGGGAAATCCAAGCCTTGATTGGTGGCAAATGCTGAAACTCGGGTAAAATCCCATCTCTGAATGTGGTCATCAGAGTCAAAAAGGTGTAGTCAAAAGTTAACACATCAAGGTGGTGGCCATCGTAGTTCTACTGTATGTACAACCCACATAAAAAACAAGCATTTTTTGACTTTTGGCTGCCATCTTGACTTTTTTGACCATATCCATGAATACTCCTCTCTCTCACTTATTGGGAAGGGAAGCTTTGTTAAAGAATGCACGCAACATCCTGCTGGGCCAGAGCATAGCCGTTCCAGTTCAGTGCTTGGTTCCCACAGTGGCCTGCGAAATTAAGGCCGGATGTGAATGTAACTGCTACTTCCTGCTTAGGCTCCCTGAAAACTAGTATTTGATTCTGGAGGTAATCTACAGCCATCGTGGCTAATCATTATGGCCTGATTCGGCCGATGCAAGCTCAGTAAAAGAATCTGCATATTAAAGTACCCACCAGAGCCACGAGAGGCCCTCTTCAACCAGGGGCTTCCAGATGTGTCTCTGTAACCCATCCTAGTGCAGGGCAAGAGACGAAAGATCCACAAAATAGTGCATTGTGGGTATTCCCTGTCAAGATTCTAGCTACTTGGTCCTATTTTCCTTTATTTCCTTCCATATTCCCTCCACCCCCAATATTCAGCTAAACCCCAAAGAGTACTGTTCATCCCCCCCCCCCCCCCC